TACCGGGATATATTTGAAAAAAAAGGGATATAAAAACGGCAGTCACTTAGTTAACTCTAATCCGAAAAACATCTTTTATTAGTAAGATTACCTGTTTAAAAAATTAAAGGTGTTGTTTTGGAAGTTTACAATCCATAAGAGCAGTGCTGGGTTTACAGGTAGGCAAAACAGGCACTACATAAGCACAAGCACCTTTGGGCAGTGGCGGCGCCAGCATTTTTTGGTCTTTGAGATAGCTAACTTCCAGACATGGAGCAAACTCCAATCATTTATAAGTTTATAATTATGTAATATAAGGATGCTTACGATGATTGGAGCTTGGGAACAGAAAAACCCAAAAATTTCGGCCGACACTGCCCCAAACGTGAGAGCAACAAGTTGATGAAATAGTTTTTGTACTATTTTCAACTAGACTTATATTTATCGATAAATTTTAAGTTTCATAGTATTATCTCTCAGTGTTCAAAAATTACGACCATATAAAGTTTAAACCCCCTCAATTTGAGGGGGTTGCAAATTTTATATGGTCATAATTTTTGAACGCTTATTTTACATAAGTATAAATGTTTGGATTTTGCTCCATGTCTGGAAATCAGCAAAGACCAAAAAAATGCTGGCGCCGCCACTGCCTTTGGGCTTCACCAAGTATAATTTTTTTTTAATGAATTTTTTGTCAATTTTTTGTCATGTTTTTAAAAAAATATATTTGAATCATAACCTGATTCAAAAGTAGTACAAAAGTATTTAAAAAAGCAAAAGTATTTATAAAATTGAAGAAACAATTTATTAGCGACGCATAAAAAAAGAAAAAGAAAAGAGGAAATTAAAGCGAGAATAAGACTTCATAATATGTCAGGGCCGTCGACACCGGGAGGGCCGGGTTTTTATTTTTTATATTTTATATTTTTATATTTTTGATATAGAGGAGTCCCCTCCTCACCACTTTAAAACCCTTGTCGTCGGCCCTGTAAGTTCATTTTTCACTAAAACATTGGAAAATGCATATATAACGCACTTGCCTCCGAAACGTAAGATCTGTAGTTCAAACCCCACTTCTGGACAAGTTATGCGACATCGCGATGTCGCATAACTTGTTGTTGGAAGTTCACGCCTCCTTCCCAACCGATGCATCGGTTGGGAAGGAGGCGTGAACTTTCTATTAAATGCTCTTCCGCGGTGCTCTGCGATATATATATAATATATATATATAGGACATAGATATATATATATATATATATATATATATATATATATATATATATATATATATATATATATATATATATATATATATATATATATATATATATATATATATATATATATATATATATATATATATATATATATATATATATATATATATATATATATATATATATATATATATATATATATATATATATATATATATATATATATATATATATATATATATATATATATAGATAGATAGATAGATAGATAGATAGATAGATAGATAGATAGATATATAGATATAGGACTTCTTGGGGCACCTAAATCAACATTTAAAATTTGAAAAAAAAAAAAAAAAAAAAATATTTCTGAAAATTTTTTTTGTTTGCTTGGATTTTTAGAGATTTACTATAAAAAAAGTATTACTTTCTGGATTGTTATGATTGTTAAACAACAAGTCCCTAAGGACTTTTTAAGGTTCGTAAAGTTTGGTGTTGTTGATGTTTTGTAAAGTTCTATTTGCACATCGTTAACAATTGCTGATTGCAAATGTTAATTCGTTCATTGAATGATTTAGAAGAATATAAACACATTTAATAACAATACAAACATTTATTTATATGAGAACTCCTTGGTTCGGAATTAATCTCCAAGGGATAAAGAGTGTTGCAGTTTAAAAAACTGTTAATATATAAATCTCTAATACCAATCTTATCTTTATTTTAATCTGTCTCGCCTTTGTTTCCTACTCTGTGCTTTGACATTAAAAGTAATTAAATTAAAAGTAAAATAAAGTTAAGTTGTCTCCTAAAAAAAAAGCTGCTCCAGAATGGCATCAAAATCCCGATATACTAAGGATGATATTGAGAACGCAATTGAAGACGTTAAGAGGTAAATTGGACATTTTTAATGTCCTATTAGTTAATTAATTCTATAATCTTGTCCTATTAGTTAATTTATTCTATAATCGTATATAAGAGTGTATCGTATATAAGAGTATCGTATATAAGAGTGGCTGGATAGTTCAGTTGGTTAGAGCATAAAACAAAAAGTTTAAACCCGGACTATTGTAAGATAGGTGTTCAAATCCTGCCACCACCAACTCAGCCTTAAGTAGTACTTTTCTTTGTATATTTTCTGTATAACTTTCTGTATTTTTTTCAGTAAAAGGAAGTCTATTTCAAAAGCTGCCAAATTTTACAACGTTTCTCGGATTACTCTGCATGATAAAATTAGTGGTAAAGCCCCAATTGTCAAAAAGATGGGTCCGAACACATTCTTGACTGGTAAATAAAAACAAGTGCTGGTAAATTATATATTAAGAGCACAAAAGCGTTCTCTGCCTGTCACAAATACCGTTTTATCTCTTGTTTCTTTGAAATTCCTTGAGATAAATTTGTGACTGGCATTTGATGAAAGGAATTTCCTTGAGATAAACAGAAATCGGTCTTTAAAATTTGAGCGAGCTGGGACTTTAGTGCCTGGGGAAAAATTATTAGTTACTAAATACCATTGAGCCCAAAACTACAATTTTAATTGTCATTTTGTTTCTTGGAATTTGTTTTAACTTCTTGTTTTGAACATTGGTCTTTTATATATAGTTATTTATATATATGTACATATATCTATAAGCTATACTGACTTATAATTTTATTTTATTTCATTAGGTATTCACTCTTAATGAAGAGACACCCAAATATAGTCACGCGCACCGGCGAATCTTTGAGCGCAGCAAGAATGAATGTTTGCAAGCAAGTAGTGCAGCATAGGTTTGCAGACATAAGAGCATATTTGGCAGAAAATGATATTCTTGACATAACAAAAAAGGCAAGCAGGAATTTTAACATAGATGAAATGGGTTTTTAATTTCCAATAAGAATTAAGAGAGTTTTTGGTAGAAAAAAGCTCTAAAAATGTCCTCTATGCAACATCAAAAAATGCAAAAGAACGGGTTACAATGCTTGGTAAGTTTAGCCTACCTATTAAATCCCTTTTAATATTTCTCTTATTATGGTTACAGTCAAGCGTAATGCTTTGGCTTATGTCTATAAATATCTTCGCTATGTCTAACTATTTAATTAAAATACTGGACATTAAATTGCATTCAACTAGATGCTTATTCTAAAGTTCGGGCTACATTTAGGTCTATTCCTTTCTTTCTTTTCAGCAAACATTGGTGCTGATTGGTCTCTCCCTCCACCTTTAATCATCTATGCAAACGTAAGAATTCTGATGAATGTGTACGAGACATTTCAAGAAACGCTTGCTGCTATCGGGTAAAGCGAATCTGGCTATATAAACAATGAGCTTTTATATAAATATTTAGCGAATGCTTTTGACAGATGGCTTATTGACAACAATATGCTAAGACCAGTCGTTGTCTGGTCAGACAAACATGATCAAGAATAAATTATCATCTTGTGAAACAGCGATCTGCAAATACATCTTATCTTGCTTCCTCCAAACACTACTCATTTCCTCCAAACTCTCGATGTTGGGATATTTTCCCCATTAAAACAAGCATGAGACTTGTGTGTTAAAGAATACAGAGCAAAGAACAATAATATGTACATTACTAGGGAAACATTTGCTGCAGTTATCCTTCCTCTTTAGAGCTCATGAGCTGCTATGAATCAAAAATTCATTTAGAAAATCTGGCATCTATCCTTTTAACCCAAAAGGCTCAGATTACAGCAAGCTAACAATAGAGGTTGAGCATTCAAGCGAGGCGTTTTTGTTTGAAGGTGTTTTGCAAGATGGAAAGGTGGAGCAAAGTACGCAAGTAGATCTATTCAGAGCCCTGTAGAAAAAAGAAACCATGTAGAAAGTAATATTTATATTTTCTTTAAATTTTATTGAAATAGCATAGCTTATATTAAGTTGCATGTATTCTGTAAATGTTTACCCTGACACTCCAATTTAATATTGGTTTCTTGATTTTAAATTTCTTCTTTCTTTAGGCGTGACCGAGGAATCATTCTCACCTCCTCATGCCTTACCTCCATCAACATCGCTTTCTAAACGAACAGCTATAAGCAAAGCCTAACTGCATCATAGATGGTTTCCATCGCCAAAAAAGAGTGTTCCTAAAGTTAGGATAGTAGCTCAAGAACTCCATGGAACATCTGTCTTGACAACACCTCAAGTAGTTTCTTTGTTAGGAGATATCCGACAAAAAAAGAAAGATACTATTGCCGCTAAAGAAAGTCACAAACAAGTGATATTGACAAATGCAGAAAAAAAAAACACACACACACCGACGGTTGTTGTTTAAAAAAATTAAGCTGTGATGCTAAGAAAACCACAAAATCAAAGCAGAAAAATAATGTATCCTAATTTAGTTTAAATTGTAATTATTTATCCTACGCTGTAAAATATAAAGTACAGGCTTTTCTTTAAAGTACTTTTTTATACTTTACGTTGTAAACTATAAAAAGAATACTTTTTCGTTTTCTCTAATTTGGTAGTAAAATCTACTTTGGTTTATAAGCAAGAAGTAAAGAGATTAATGTTCTTGCCAAATACGTTCTATGTGCTACCCACTCTTTGAACTTCGTAGGATTTAGTGCCGCTGAATCCAATGGATCTGTCAATTGTCAAGAAATTTATAACTTTTTTTCTAATTTAACTCATTGATAGGATGACTTAAAGTTAAAATTCCCTTCAAAACAAAACACGTGTTGGATTCCCAAGACTCTCTTACAAACTAGTTGGTCAGCTCTTGCTGATACTTGTTTAGCCCTTGAAAATGGTTATTTTTTTTATATAGTAGTTAAGATTGATTAAAGAAACCAAATAAAAAC